AAGCAGGATGAGGTTTGTTTTTAAAATTCAGATTTGAGCAGAATTCCAACAAATGTGCGGTGAGAACATCAAACACACAACTGCCTGTTTGACTCAATGGATCATTTTGGATTTGTGCTTTTAGTCGGATCTTCTCTAGCTTCACGTGGTGGTGGGGAAAGTACCAGAGGAACCAAAACTGTGGAGGTTTGGTCCAAATGAAAGAGAGTCCAAGTGAGTCTCAAGTAAAGAGTTTAATGTATAAAGAGCGTTAACAGGAAATGGTAAGGCGTTCCAGTGACTCGGACAAACTCTGTCATCTGTTTTTATGTCCAGACGTTGGAATATTTGGAATGAGCAGAACAGAGCTCAGCGTGACAAACACAGGACGACCTCCTGCCTTCCATCTGAAGTCGGGATGATGATGATAATGATGAGTATCCATTTTTTACATCCTCTCAAATGTTTGATGGAAAAATCGTCCACACTGAAACGACCTGACAACAGGAAAAATCCTCTCCTCTCGTTTAAAGTCACAAGCAGAAGGTCAAAGGTCAATCCCGGTCTGCTCACAGGTCCTGGACTTGACCGGGTATCGCGTAACAGTCTGCCGGTGCATCGTGTCCAAAGGGCATCATGTCCAGAGAGATCTCGGCCTCGCACTCGTGCCGCAGGATGGCGGGCAGCAGCAAGTTCCGGCGGTTCCGGGAATCACCGGAAGTGGCCGAAACTTTATCGAAGTCGCGCTCGAGCTCCGCCGGCGCAGCGCACACCTCCTTCTGCAGGGTGGTGTCGTGGTGGTAGGACGCCAGCTCGTTACTGAAGTCCACCGCCTCCACCGCCGAGGTGGCGCAGTAGCGGCTGCAGCCCAGGATGGTGGAGAAGGCCTTCCGGAAGTCGGCGTTAAAGGCGTAGATGACCGGGTTCAGGGACGAGTTGGCCCAGCCGAACCACACGAACACGCTGAACGTGGTGTCGCTGACGCAGGGCGGCGCGCGCCGGCGCTCCAGGCGGCAGAAGGGAACCATGCAGTTGAGCACGAAGAACGGCAGCCAGCAGAACACGAACACGCCCATGATGACCGACAGCGTCTTCAGTACTTTGGTCTCGCGGCGGAAGGAAGTCTTCAGAGAGCTCTCCTCGTGCGCGGAGGCGCGGGGCCGCCGGTGCACAGCGCGGCAGCCCCTCTCTAGCGACGAGATCCGCCGGATCTGCGTGCGCGCGATGCGGAAGATGCGCGTGTACGTGCCCACCATGATGAGCACGGGGATGTAGAAGCTGATGAGGGAAGAGGAGATGGCGTAGGTGCGATTCAGGCTCGCGTTGCAGTCCCCCGGGTCCGTGGCGTTCTGCGCGCCCGCGCGGTGCCAGTTGAGCTGCACGGGGATGAAGGAGATGAGCACAGACAGCGTCCACGCCACACCGATCATCACGCACGCGAACCTGCGCGTCATCCTGCGCTCGTAGCGGAACGGGCTGGAGATGGCCCAGTAGCGGTCCATGCTGATGATGCACAGGTGGAGGATAGAGGCCGTGAGAGAGTGATATTATACCCCTTATGTCAAACTCAGTGATTTATGACCCCCTAGAGTGATTTATGGCCCTAGGAAGTAATAAAGTAATAAAGGAAGTAATAAAAATATGATATTCATAAAAATATGATATTCATAAAA